GTATATGTCAGCCACCGCAAGTAAATCTGCTGTCGCTACCGTCGACATCAAGCCCGATGTTTCAGATCAAATTATCGAGATAAAACGACGTCACGATGCATTGCTTCACCCTGATCTTGGATGCTGCAACATAGCTACTGTCGCATTAAACTTTAAACCAGATGCCAAGCCAGTCTTTTGACCAAGCGCCCGGTCCCCTACGAAACCCAGTCCTTAGTGGAAGCCGAGTTAAGCTGACAACAGTCTGAAGGGATAATCAAACGAGTTCACTATTCAAAATGGGCAGCACCTATCGTGGTGGTAAAGGAAAGAAACGGTAAAGTCCGTATTTGTGCTGATTTCTCGACAGGTTTGAATTCTGTTTTGGAAAATCATCAGTATCCCCTACCAGCAAACTCAATGGGGGAAAATGTTTCGCAAAACCTGACCTAGCTGATGCGTGTCTGCAAATCCCAGTTGCTCATCAGTGCAGGACATTGCTGACCGTAAATACCCACCTTGGACTTTTTCAGTACAACCGGCTGCCGTTCGGAGTGAAAACCGCACCGGTCATTTTTCAACAAATAATGGATACCCTGCTGAGCGATATCCCAAATACCGCAGTATACCTGGACGATGCGTTGATTATGGGCTCAGATCCGCAAGACTTGATATAGACACTGGAGAGAGTGCTTTCGCGTCTCGAAGAAGCTGGATTCCGATTACGGGCTGAAAAATATGAGTTCCAAGTGTCAAATTTCTTGGGTTTATCATCGACAAACATGGTCGGCGCCCGGATCCCGCTATTATTGAAGCCATCAAAAAGATGTAACCACCAGAAGACATTGCAGAGCTCCGCTCGTTCCTTGGGCTCGTTAGTCATTACAGCGCTTTCCTACCAAGCCTTCACCAAGCCAGAGCTCCGCTGAACCAGCTACTGACAAAAGACAAGGGTTGGAAATGGACGAAGGAGTGCCAGCAGTCTTGATGCAGCCAAAGCAGCTCTCACTTCTGATCTACTCTTGACTCACTTCAATCCGAACTTCAAAATTGTCGTTGCTACGGATGCTTCGAATTATGGTGTTGGTGCAGTTATCCTCCACATTTTTCCACATGCAGAAGAGAAGACTATCGCGCACGCAGCACGGTCATTAACGGCAGCTGAAAAAAGCTATAGCCAGATAGGGAAAGAAGCGCTCGCGATCGTTTTCGTAATGAAACGGTTCCATAAGATGCTGTATAGCAGACACTTCACGCTCTTTACTGACCACAAGCCACTTCTGTCGATATTCGGATCAAAGAAAGGCATTCCAGTTTTTACGGCAAACCGGTTGCAACGATGGGCGACCATACTACTGGCCTACGACTTCAGTATACGGTGTAGGCCTACGCAACTAATCCGTCAAGCGGATGCCCTGTTTCGTCTCATCAATTCACATCCAAAGGAGAACGATGATTGTGTGATTACACCTATCAGTTTCGAATCAGAAGTCCAACGAATCCTTGCTGATAATGTGAGTAGACTACCAGTAACAGCTGACACCATTCGTACGGAGACATCACGGGACAGGATCTTGGAGAAAGCGTTGCAGTGTGTACGAACATTGCCAGATGGAGCCAAATGCGGCCGTTATACACTCGACGTGGATCCCTGTCAGTCGTGGACAGTTATCTGATGTTTGGAGATGGAGTGGTAGTGCCAAACGAAATTGCAGAGGCAAATATTGCAGCAGTTCCACACGGGACACCCTGGTACCAGCCGCATGAATGTCTTGGCACGCAGTTTGGTTTACTGGCCAGAAATGAATTCGGAACTTGAAAAATTCTGTCAACAGTGTGAATCTTGTCAACTTGCAGCGAAGGCCCCTCCTAAGTGTCAGTGACAACCTTGGCCTAAAGCAGAGAAACCGTGGCAAAGAATACACTTAGACTATGCAGGACCAATCAATGGCTAATCCGATCTTATTTTGGTCGACTCATTCACCAAGTGGCCTGATGTGATTCCGGTGAACAATCCGACTGCCCAGCACACTGTCAACAAGCTGGAGAAGCTGTTCCGATATTTCGGCCTGCCAGGGGTGTTAGTGACAGACAATGGAACACAATTAACCTCGACTTCTTTCCGCGTGTGTTACAAGGAAAAGGGAATTAAGCAGATGTTCTCACCACCATATCATCCGCAATCAAACGAACAGGCGTAAAGGTTCGTGGATACGTTCAAACGCGCAGTCTAAAGCAGAGCAAAGAAGGCTTCACAGGATGCAATTAAATCTTTCCTATGCGTGTATCGGAACGCTCCGAACCCAAACGCCCCCAATGGGAAATCCCCCACAGAAGTACTATTTGGAAGCAAGGTTCGAACAATGTTCGATAATATTTTACCAGGGAGAATAGAAAAGCACGTTAGTAGTCACCTGGAGGAAGATTACAAAATCAGTCTCCGTAACTTCAATGTTAGTGACATAATTTACGCCTGGGATTTTCGAAGGCCGTAAGGGTGGTCGAGCGGAACTGTTTTCGGCAGGAAAGGCAGAGTGGTGATGGTTGGATGTGAGAGGTGGATTAGGCACATCAATCATTTGAGACCGAACCATGACAAAACCCAAGGTCCCCACAAACCACCAGGTTTGCATTGGGACATTCTACTAGACACGTTTGAGCTGGAAGTTGAGGATCAGCAACCCGTGGAGACGAAACAAATGCCGCAGAAACCAGATGCACAATGCATACCGGCCCTGAAGCGAAGACCACGATGGCTGCAACTCGATCTTCGGGGGAAAAGCTACGAACGAAATTAGGTTAGAAGGGTTTGCAAGCTGACTCAATTCGGAAACGGAGGTGATAGCTGGTCGAGAATGCTGATTGCCAACGTGTGCGTTTTTGCCACAAATCGTGCTTGGGAAAGACCCTGCGAGCATGTTGCCATGGCACAGCCGACAGTTGATGAAATCGCGCATCAGACAGCAAGCGTGTTGCCAAGGCCTGACCAGAAGCTGCTTAAATCGCGCGTCAGACATCATGTAGGCGGATGAAGACGCGTGTCTGAGCCAGGCGGTGAACTTTCCCGACAGAGCGGACAGTCAAGTGTGGATCATGTACATAGGAGGAAGGCAGGTAGCCAAATCCGCCAGCCGGTGTTTAGAGGATTGCTGGGACCGACCTATAAATATGAACGTTCTCGGTTATAATACAACTCTGGTCGGCTGAGTCTTCTTCTGTTTTCCTTCCTGTCGGGTTGGCCAAGTCGTCAAGCAGAGTAGGCGTAAGGGTGCAGATTTACCAGCAGGCGTGAATCAACCGGTCGATTTCGGTTACAACATTATAACATCAGTGTTACTTGGTCCCCTCCGTCGGAGGCCGACTGGTCGGTGTGATGCGATGTTATAGACTCTCTTCGTGCTCCTTTCTTCACCATTGGTTTTCCCCCACCGAATATATTTTAGTTGCTTTCGGAAAGCGCAAATGTCGCTCGACAGAAAGGTGATAGCCTGGCATACTCAATAATTTGTCGAACCAACAGCTGTGTTGTCGGAGGATAACGTGTTGGCGGCAGGGACTGTTCACTCCGTATCCCGGCCACAACACTTGATGACGTCCTTCATTCCCCGACGACGCGGATCCTACTCCGATTTTTACATATTTTGAGAACAACTGTAAAGAAATCTCATGAAACATGAAGCACCGATTCAATCGGTCTATCCGAGAATAACCGCTGCATTCTGATCCACCCAGCCATTTTCATGGTGGATTAGGCACATGGTGGATTAAGCACATCACATGAATTTAAGATCAACCCAACTAGTGCGTAATGCCTACTATATCGCCATACGCATCAACCGTCTATCCTAGGGAATACTAATTTGATTATCGACTACAATTAGGCATGGTGTATCATACAATTTTTCGCGTGTTTCCGAATCCCTGCTGACGCAGAAGGAACTTAGTAAATCCGGTCAAACCTGAACTCTCACATGTTATTGGATGTCAATATACTGCGGTGCAATTCCTTCCATACGGATTGCGGTCCTGGTCGTACTTTGCTCGTGTTCTCTTCAGGCCAGTTTACCTCTTTCTTTACTTTGTTAAAGTCATTTTATCCTACAAATATTTGTGTACTTCACTCACATTAGTGATTTAAAATTACCTCATCATAATTACGTCTGCTAATTAATTGTATTTTACGTGATTTCTGTACTACACTGATTTAGTCGTATCGATCAGTACCTACTTTTAAAATTGTAAAACAGACACCTTGTGCTAGTTGTTCCAAAGTCGTTGAACATCGCGCAAATGCAATTACATGCAGATCATGCAGCGTGAAGTTTCATATTTCGTGCATTGATCTGCCTGTGTACAATGCACCAGCGCCCTCGTGATTTGTTTGAAGTGTAAATAACCTACAAAGCAATGCCCCATTGCTTCAGTTTGCCGAAGCCTCAGCTATTCGTCGGCTTAAGCCCAATTTATGCAAGCAGGCTGAACTTACGGCCAGCTTCGCCCCATCTTGGTGAGGTTATTGATCATTTTCCTTTGAGATGAATGGCCCCATACATTGCTTCCCTTTTGTACGCAACGCGATACTTTCAGGAATGCGTGTAAACAGCTGACGAGGACACTCGAACTACCTGAATTCATCATATCTTGTTAACTTGCTTTTTCCTCTTGCTATTTTGAGATTTGTGAAGGGAAAATCCTGCATGAATTTCAAGTGATTCAACACGACTTTTTGAAGACGATTTATACGCAGTGTCAGTCTAAGGTTCGGCTGAAGTGAGCGGAAAAGCCTGACAAGCGGATCGGTAGAGCGAATTGCGCTAAACCGCACAACCGATTTGTTCTGCACCACAATCAGAGAAACAGCCATCACCTAGTTCGCCAGCGATTGTATCCCTGGAGCAAAGTGCGCGCGTTCCTCCATCGTGCCTAGACCTGCTGTTGACCAGCTGTGAGCAACGTATGCATAACATTCACGTCCTGGAGCGCCTGGGAGCGAGTGACCATTCGATGGTCATAGCCAGCTTGGAACTACCGGTACCGTATTCTCCTCCGCTGAAGCCAACCTTCGGCTACTGGATGGCGGACTTTAATGGCCTCATTCGAGTAGCGAGTCAGATAGACTGTCGTTACCAGAGCATTCGTCTGTTGAAACCTGTTGGACTATTATTAAAGAGAGAATGCATCGTTATGCGCCCGATTTGTACCCTTCAAGTATCGGAAGTTTGGGCCAGTCAACCCACATTGGTCCGACAGGGAGTACAGCAAATTGACCCGATGACGACGCAGACTATGGAACAAATTCGTGTTATCTGGCTCTGACGAAGATTTCAAGGTTTATAAGGTACAGCGAAATTTCTGCAACAACAAAAACAGAAAGCGCAGAATCTTCGAAGAGCAACTTGCAGTCGACGTAAAAACTGCTCCCAAGAGGATCTTCGCCCACGTGAAGCGGCACCTGATGTCTGCAGGCAATGTGCCAGTGTTGGAAGGTTTAGATGGACAGCCCCTGACCTCGAGCACAGCTCGTACGTCCGCACTGGCAGCGCACTTCGCTTTCGTATTTGCAAATGACCAGGTGTCTGCACCGAGTTCGACGGGTACCGACCCGGCTGAACTTGACAGACAGATTGCAGCATTGAAGATGTACGCATGCTGTTGGCAAGTCTTGACGGGACGAAGCCTGTCGGACCAGATGAAATCCACCCACTGATCCTCAAGTCTCTATCCGCCATCTTCTCACCTTCTGTAACTGATCTGTTCAACAGGTCACTACCCACTGGTTTATTACTTAGCGACTGGAAATGCCCAGTCGTAAAGCCAATACCGAAAGGTAGGGACCCGATAGCTGGCTGTTAGCTCTCCGGTACGATGTCCATCCGTTATTGGGGACTCAGCCGGCGTGCCACTGTTGTATTTTTCTTCTTGTCTTCAGTATTTCTGCACAATAGCTGAGGTGTTTCCACCTGCAGCTCACGTGTACAATGATGATGATGATGATGATAACCCGAGAAAAGTGGATAACTACCATCCGATCTGCCTTACTGCTGTTTTGGCAAAGACGCTTGAGATGATCGTGAAGAAGTGTCTTCTGCAGCTTCTCGAGTCGAAAAGCCTCCATACGCTCGCACAGCATGGTTTCGTGAAAGGTCGCTCGTGCATCACCAACCTATTGTTAACAAGGCACGAATAACTGCAAGCAGTAAACCAAGGCAAGTCGGTTGACGTCGTTTACATTGACTTCAGTAAGGCTTTCGACAAGGTGAATCATGAAGTGCTCCTCGGCAGCCTGAGGGTGTGCGGTGTTGCTGGATCACTGCACCGATGAATCAGGAACTTCCTTGTTGATCCAAAGTGGAGGGCCCAGGTCGACAACCATTTGCCCGACTGATATCCATCGAGCAGTGTCGTACCCCAAGGCACTGTTCTGGGGCCCATTGTGTTCGATCCATGTAAATGATGTGCCTCAGATACTCCGTTCACCTTGTGCCTTGTTTGCAGATGACTTGAAGCTGTGGAGAGTAATCTGCCCACCCAGTGACCGTGACCTGCTTCAGCTGGACCTCGACCGTCTCTCCATGGGTCTGCAGACGTCAACCTCCCGATCAACCCGGTCAAGTCGCAATTCATGAGGCTGGGTATGTGTGAGCACAGTCGAATCTACACTGTGGCCGGTCAACTGTTGCATCCCGCGCCTTCCGTGTGAGACCTCGGTGTACTCTCACGCTACGACCTAAAGTCCATGGACAAGACGAATAGGATTTATCAAAACAGCCTTTGTATATTTTGGGCGCTCAGGCGCAGCTTCAGCACTTGTTTCGTAGAGATTGCCACTCGCCTCTTCGTCTCAATAATGCGACCAAAGGTGGAGTATGGCTCTCCCGCGTATTGTCCTATCCCCCGGGGCGAGGTAGAAAAGATTGAGCGAGTGCAGCATGTGGCCACCGGGCTGCTTCCCATCATCATCATCATCAACAGCAGTACGTCAGCCATTTGAACTAATGCTTCGCTGCCATACAACCATGAGGACCTGTGAAATAAAGAATAAGAAGATGGAGAGAAGGGGGACTTACCTGAAAACCTTAATGCCCTAAGCAAACATTCAGGGTCAAGGCGCCTACACCTTGTGCTAACAACATACCGTCACAAACAGCTGGCTATCGTGCAATTTAGTATGTGTGCCGTACGAAGACCGGTGTAAAAAACCAGGGCTTTGCACCCTAGCTTATCATCGACTGCGGGTTGGCCTCATCATAACGCACCTCGGTGAATATCCCATGTTGAGGCCGCTGCCGCATCTGCGCACACCAAGCAGCACACGAGGACACGGTACAGGCTTGTAGTACCGGATTTGAAGCAGGTCACTCACCAACTCTTTTCGAACCGGGAGTGCTGAATATATGAAACAACCTGCGTCAGCACGTAGTTGAGGCAAAGTCAGTATCGGCATTTAAGAAATTCCTGGACAAACACTTTGCCGATATAAAATCTATCGAGCGCACACCAACATAAAGGGTCTTTGTACCTGAGTGATATTAGATGCAGCTACGCAGAGATGCCACTCATTGCTGTTTCCATTCAGTACTCAGTTAATGGTCAGCTTGTGCTCAAAATATTCTTCACGCATCTATTAAACTGATCAAGTCAAGTCAAGTATGTGCTTTATACACCCATGAAGGGTGAATATTCAGCTCTACTGCGCACACCACGGACAGGGTTAATAATGAAAACAACTAGTACTCGAGGATGGATATAAAATCACATTCCTTGAAAAAGCTTACCAGAGCTACTAGTGTGATTTGCTAACCAGTTCTTGAATGACTGAATTTTTATCGTTCGAAAAACGTGACAGGCGAGGAACTACGGATGTACCATAAGCCCTTGTGGGGGCGTACATAGTTTTGTTGCTCTGTCTGGTTAAGGGGGTTGATATGCATTCAGACAACACCCTGTGGAGGGGTGGCTAACACAAATGGATCCGAAATTTCCTTGTGGATCGGAAGTGGAGAGCCCAGGTGGACAACCATCTAACGGACTGGTATCCATCGAGCAGCGGCGTGCCCCAAGG